AAACAGAATTCTAAGCACCTGAGAGTGAGCCTCCCATAACACTGTGTTGTGCCATGCCCAACCGAAATAACCCAGGTGGATAACATTTACAATCAGGAGCTCCTCAGTTGCTCATTCCACCACTGAGTTTACAATGACTTATGGGTAGAAAAGCCATATTAAGTAATTTACTACACTGCAGTAGTGATACCGCCACAGGAACCCAAGGAGAGGTTGCTATGAGCCGGATCCAACTCCATGGCAGTGAGTTTGGTTTGGTTTGGTTTATTATTACTTACGATGTTTTATGCCATATGTAAAATTTGAAGTTTTTTATGGGCAGATCAGTCTTACAGCTTCTGGTTTTCCTACCTTGCTTAAGAATATTTCCACTCCTGAGTTAATACAGACATTTTACTAATTTTTTTAAAATGATGTTTTCCTTATACTTACACTTTTAATCTATCTTGGATTTATTATAGTTTGTGACATGTGATGCGAGTCTCACTTTATTTTTTCCACATGGATAACCAGTTTGCCAGCAGAACTATCCACTTGTCACTGAATTGAAATGTCATGTTCCTCATACTTTCCATTACTAGACAATTATGTTGGGTGTTCTTGAGGCCCTTAAGCCAAGTCTAAGAGTTCCAAATATGTTTCTGGACCTGTGATAGCCTGTTGTCATGTTTCCTTCTTTATTTTTTACAGAGACCAGTGACTGCGTGTTAAACACATTTAACAGGTGTTTGGACTAATAGCCTTGAACAATAACAAGAATAGTCTGCGCTACCATTTCAAGACATGCCTGCCCAAAGTCCTGGGAAGGGACTTTGCGGCAAGCTTTCACACTGAGGTCACTCACTACCTTCGATTCATTCCCATCTTGTTCATCTTTCTCGTGTCTGTATGTCCAATTTTTAGGGCCCCAGACTTCTTCCTAAGTATCAGGTGAAATCATTTCTCACTCCTTGCTGCTCCTTGGAGACCCCTATGGATTTTCAACTTTATAAATCTGTGATGACTGGACTGATTGACCTTCTTGGAGCAAGACAGTATTTTGCTTCAAAAGTGTTCACACCCTATTGTTATACGATTGGTAAGTAGCAGGAGTTCTGTGGGTTACTGATCCTCAGTGATGGCTGTAGAAGGTCCCTGAAATAAGAGATGGAAGTTCCATTTCCCGCAGGCAATCAGAACAGTGGTTAAGCATGAGGGCCCTCAGTCCAGACCGTCTGGGTTGGAATCCCAGTTGCCACATAACAGTAGATGGTCTGGCTTAGAATCCTGCTTGCCACGTAGCAGCAGCATGTCTGGGTTGGAATCCCGCTTGCCATGTAGCAGCAGAAGCAACAGAAGGCTGTGTTGGGATCCAGCTTGCCACATAGCAGCAGCAGGACTGTGTTGGAATCCCACTTACTATGTAGCAGCAGAAGGTCTGAGCAGGTTGTCTGCTGTTTCTCTGCTTCCTTTCTCTGTAAAATGAGAGTAGGGGGATATCAACCTCAAAGACGTATTGTGAGTGCTAAATGGGACAATACAGAGTGGTACTAAGTGCTGTTACATTGTTAGGTGCCGTCCAGCAGGTTCCCACTCAGTGACATCATATAGAACAGAACGAAACACTGCCCAGTCCTACACCTTCCTCACAATCTTTGCTGTGTTTGAGCCCATCGTTGCAGCCACTGTGTCAATCCATCTCTTTGAGGGTCTTCATCTTTTTCATCAACCATCTGTTCTACCACGCCTGCTGTCCTCCACGGACCTGCTCCTCCTGATAACATGGCCAGAATATGAGAGGCAGAGTTGGGCCATCTCATTTCTATGGAACATTCTGGCTGCGCTTCATCCGAGACAAATTTGTTCATTCTTCTGGCAGTCCATGGTATACTCAGTGTCTTCAACACCACAATTCAAAAGCATCAATTCTTCTTCAGTTTTTCTTATTCATTATTCACCTTTCACATGCAGATGAAAACACCATGGTTTGGATCAGGCACACCTTTCTTCAAAGTGACATATTTGCTCTTTAGCACCTTAAGGAAATCTTTTTTGTTTGTTTGTTTTTAATTTTTATTGTAATTTGGGTGAAAGTTTACAGAGAAAATTCACTTTCTATACAGCAGCTCACATACACTTTGTCTCATAACCACGATACAACAGTTCCCCTCCCTCTTCCTTCCCATAGTTACCTCTTCCCTGTGTCCTTCCCTCCTATACACTCCTACCCCCCCCAAGCTGTCTCCCTGTACATATGTAGCCCTTCTACTGTCCCATGATTGATCTCTTCAAGGAGTGTATCTGCCTATTGCAGATGTTCATCTCATATGCCTGTCTTTTGTTTGGCTGGAAGCCACAGGAGTATGTTCAATTCCAGACCTAAAGGGCAACTAGGGGCATACTCTCAGTGGTTCCATCAGGCTCTATCAGACCAGCAAACCTGGTCCTTACTTAAAGAGGTCTTTTGCAGCAGATTTTCCCAATGCAATACGTCATTTCACTTCTAGACTGCCGCTTTCAATGCACAATCAATGTGCATTGATTGTGGATCCAAGTAAAATGAAATCCCTGACGATTTCAGTCTTTTCTCCATTTATCATGATGTTGTTTATTGGTTCAGTTGTGAGGATGTTTGTTTTCTTGATGTTAAGTGTAATCCATACTAAAGACTGAAGTCTTTCAGCTTCATCAGTAAGTATTTCAAGTCCATTTTGCATTCAGCACACATGGCTGTGTCATCTGCATATTGCAGGTTAATTGTCTCCCTCCATAATAATAAGTGATCAGTCAGTGTTACCACAGTCTAGGCTTGTGCTGTCCACTAACGTGGCCACTAATGCATGGACCTATTAAAGTTGAATGGGAGCTCCGGTGGCATAGTGCCTAAGGCATTTGACTGCTAACCAGAAGGCTGGCGGTTCAAACCCACTAGCCACTCCTCGGAAGAAAGATTGGGTAATCTACTTCCATAGAGATACCGCCTCAGACACCCAAGGAGGGGTCACTATGAGTCAAATTGACTGGATGGCAGTGAGTTTGGTTTGGTGGTTTTTTTTTGATTGAATACTACTTAGAATTCACTTCCTTAGTCTACATTTCAAGTGCTCAGTAGCCGCATGGCCAGCGTCACCATGGTAGCACAGATATAACCATTGTCATCATTATAGATGGTCTGTGGGCAGTGCTGACTGGACAGTTCAGGTCCCCCATTAGGAGTTTTTAATCGATGAGTGAAAACCATCTCAAAGGATTTGAGAGTTCCGTGAGCTTCCATGGTCACACTACACACCTTTCTGTAACAGGCTCTTTGCAAGAGAACAGCAGAGCACCCGGGGAAGGAAGGGCCATGTGGCCAGGCTGTGGACTAAGTTCAGAGGCAGGAGCTTTGCCTCTCCCTGGGACCACCGAAAACCCAAGTGATGAGCCTTTCGGGTTGATTAGATGTCTAAAGTTTAGTAAACTCTTTGGGGGGGTGGTCTTCACTCTGAAACAGCTTGGGAAGTATATGTGGTTCTTGTATCATAGACAAACCAAGAACCCTGTTACTTGGTTTTGTGTGGTTGTGCCTTGTCAATTTAAGGCTGACCTGCTACCCAGGAAACTGGGTGACTTTTCCCCACTGCTTGGCTATGGTCATTACTTGGCAGCTTCAGCCCTACTAGAAATGCAGTTTGGAGGAAACCCAGCAGAGCAGAGGGGTCAAGGAAGAGCGTGTTTGCAGGGGCATCGCATGAAGACTTTTCCTTTCTCTCACCAGATGTTGAAATTAAGTTAGATGCAGAAGGATTTGTATTACCATGTACAGCTGATGAAGATATACACAAAAGGTGAGGGGTTCCTGTGGACCTTTTATGAGACTCATTGGAGGTTAATAAGCAATGATCTTCATTAAAAAGATGGAAGAATAAATGTGATTATGGAAATTAAAACACTACTTTTCAATGTACAGTTTTTAGAAATTTGCAATATTTTATAAACATCAATATTAATTGAGTACTTTTAAAAAAACCAGATTAAAGAATAACACTTTCATGACTTACATGAAAATAGCATTGGCACACAGGAATAGCCAAATTCCAGATAAACTCTGGCTGCTACAAATAAATATTTTCATGGCTTTAGAAACTAACTTGTTTTTGCCTCATCTTGATGTTTCAGGGTAGCGCTCTGTGTCGACGGACCAAGAAGGTTTTGTTTTAACAGCAGCAACTTACTAGGAAAAGAGGCCATTAAACAGAGACACCTACGGTTGCTTGGTTATGAAGTTGTTCAGGTATCATTTCACCTATTTCTTTTTTCCCTGAAAGTCAGATTCCTAACGCAGACTGGAGATCACATGATAGAATTTTGCAAGACCAACAACTTACTCGTTGCAAATACCTTTTTTCGGCAACACAAACAGCAGCTATATACATGGACTTTGCCAGATGGAGTACACAGGAATCAGATTGACTACACCTGTGCCATGAGATAATGGAGAAGCGAAATATCTTCAGCCAAATCAAGGCCAGGAGCTGACTGTGGAACATACCATCAACTGCTCATATGCAAGTTCAAGATGAAGTTAAAGACAATTAAAAGAAGTCCATGAGAGCCAAAATATGACCTTGATTATATCCCTCCTGAATTTAGAGACCATCTAAAGCATAGATTTAATGGAACACCAGTGACCAAAAACCAGAGGAATTGTGGGATGACATCAAGAACATCATCCATGAAGAAAGCAAAAGGTTATTAAAAAGACAGGAAAAGAAGAAAAGACCAAAATGGATGTCAGAAGAGACTCTAAAACTTATCCTTGAACGGAGAGTAGCTAAAGCGGGTGGGAGAATCAACATGATAGAAGAGCTAAACAGAAGATTTCAAGGAGCAGCTTGAGAAGACAGTCAGTTATTAAAATGAAATGTGCAAAGACCTGGAGTTAGAAAACCAAATTGGAAGAATGTACTTGACATTTCTCAAGCTGAAAGAATTGAGGAAAGTTCAGCCTTGAGTTGCAGTATTGAAGGATTCCGTGGGTAATATGTTGAATGATGCAGGAAACATCAATAGAAGATGGATGTGATACACAGAGTCACTGCACCAAAAAGAATTGGTAGATGATCATCCATTTCAGGAGGTGGCATATGATCAAGAACCAGTGGTATTGAAGGAGGAAGTTAAAGCTGCACTGAAGGAATTGGCAAAAAACAAGACTCTGGGAATGGATGGAATACCCATTGAGATGTTTCAGCAAATGGATGCCATGCTGGAGGCACTCACTCAGCTATGGCAAGAGATTTCGAAGACAACTACCTGCGCAACTGACTGGAAGAGATCCATATTTGTACCTATTCCAAAGAAAGATGATCCCACAGAATGTGGAAACTATTGAAGAATATCATTGATATCACACGCAAGTAAAGTCTTACTGAAGATAATTCAAAAACAGTTGCAGCACTGTGTTGACAGAGAACTTCTAGAAGTGCAAGCTGGATTCAGAAGGGAACGTAGAGTGAGGGATATCATAGGTGATGTCAGATGGATCTTGTCTGAAAGCAAAGAATACCAGAAAGATGTTTACTTGTGTTTTATTGACTATGCAAACACATTTGATCATGTGGATCATAACAAATTGTGGATAACATTGAGAAGAATGGGAATTCCAGAACACTTGACTGTACTTGTGAGGAACCTGTACATAGACCAAGAGGCTGTTATTCGAACAGGACAAGGGGATACTGCATGGTTTAAAATCAGGAAGAGAGTGTGTCAGGGTTTTATCCTTTTACCATACTTATTCAGTCTGTATGCTGATCAAATAATCCAAGAAGCTGGACTATATAAAGAAGAATGTGGCATCAGGATTGGAGGAAGGCTCATTAACAACCTGAGATATACAACTGACAATACAACTTTGCTTGCTGAAAGTGAGGATGACTTAGAGCACTTACTGATGAAGATTAAAGACTACAGTCTGCAGTATGGATTAGAGCCCAATATAAAGAAAACAAAAATCCTCACAACTGGACCAATAAATAAGCAGCATCATAATAAATGGAGAAAAAATTGAAGTTGTCCGAGACTTCATATTACTTGGTTCTACAGTCAACACCAATTGAAGCAGCAGTCAAGACATCAAAAGACGTATTGCACTGGGAAAATCTGTTGCAAAAGACCTCTTTCAAGTGCTGAAGAGCAAAGATGTCTCCCTGAAGACTAAGATGAGCCTAACCCAAGCCATGATATTTTTAGTCCCTTCACATGCATTTGAGAGCTGGACACTGAATAAGGAAGACCAAAGAAGAGTCAATGCTTTTGAGTTCTGGTGTTGACGAAGAATGCGGAAAACACCGTGGACTGCTGAAAGAACTAACAAATCTCTCTTGGACAAAGTACAGTCGGAATGCTCCTTGGAAGCGAGAATAGCCAAACTTTGTCTCACCTACTTGGGTCTTCTTGCCAGAAGGGATCATTCTCTGGAGAAAAATGCCATGCTTGGTAAAGTGGAGGGACAACGAAAGAGGGGAAGGCCCTCAACAAGATGGATTGACACAGTGGGTGCAGCAATGGGCTCAGGGATAGTAGGGATCATGAGGCTGGCACGGGACCAGGCAGTATCTCGTTCTGTTGTGCATAAGGTAGCTGTGAGTTGGAGACGACAAGACAGCACATAACAACTAAAACAAACAGGCTGACTTTATCCAGGGTACTAAATGCTCTGCCAACCCAGCAGACCAAGCATCTTACACCTAGTAGTACATGTACCAACTCTGCTAATTAGGCATTTCGGAATACTCTGTGGTTTTTTAGAAATCTCATGACTTATATTTTGAAATGCAGAATTGTCAGACTTTTGGTTTCCTAAACATAGGGCATCCCTGTGTTGTCCATGAGCAATGCCTAACTCTATTGGTAACTGTTTTCCGTTACCAGATCTCCACTGTGCTCTATTTCTCCCTGATGTAATGACTGGCCATCTCACTCACCACACAGAATCATCTTCCTAACACACAAAGATTGTGTCGACGTGTGCTCAGAAACCTGCGTGACTTTACTGCACACAGGATAGAGTGAAGCTTGTAGTGGTGAACCTTCACAGGCTCCAGGGTCACCTTCCTA